TATCTTCCAATTATTCCGAGATTCAAGCGTCTGTTTGCAAATCCAATTGATGCAAAGCATTTAACATGGCATTCAAGTGGTAGAACAGTAGATGGAAATCTTCGTCATCCAGCCGATTCTCCTCAATGGAAAACAATTGATGTGTCATTTCCGACATTTGGCCTTGAAACAAGAAACCTTAGGCTTGGTCTATGTACCGACGGAATAAACCCTCATGGTGATATGAGTAGCAAACATAGCTCATGGCCAGTTATGTTGGTGATATATAACCTTCCTCCTTGGTTGTGTATGAAACGGAAATATATAATGCTTTCTTTGATGATTTCTGGGCCCAAACAACCGGGAAATGATATAGACATTTTCTTGGCACCTTTGATTGATGACTTGAAGAAATTGTGGGATGAAGGCGTGTCGGTCTTTGACGGATATAAGAAGGAATATTTTACACTGCGTGCCATGATATTTTGTACAATAAATGATTTTCCAGCTTACGGAAACTTGTCTGGGTACAGCGTTAAAGGACATAAAGCATGTCCTATATGTGAAAGAGCTACATGTTTTAAACAACTTGTGCATGGAAAGAAGACAGTATACTTGGGCCACCGCAAGTTTCTAGACCGGTTTCATCCTTACCGGAAATTAAAAAAAGCTTTCAATGGGTTACAAGAGTTTGATGATGCTCCACGACCATTGACGGGTGGCGAGGTCTACGAAAAGGTGAAGAATATAAACTTAGTGTTTGGGAAGACTCAGAAGAAGATATCTCAAACCGAGAAGAGTCCATGGAAGAAGATGTCTATATTCTTTGAACATCCGTACTGGAAGGTGCTGGATGTAAGGCATTGCATTGATGTTATGCATGTTGAGAAAAATGTATGTGATAGCCTTGTTGGAACGCTTCTAAACATAAAGTCCAAAACCAAAGATGGATTAAATAGTAGATTGGACTTGATTGAAATGGGTATACGACCCAACTTAGCACCGAAACCAACTGGTAAGAAGAGTTATTTGCCTCCTGCTGCTCACACTTTGTCAAAAAAAGAGAGAACCAGTTTGTGTCAATGTCTACGTGGTGTCAAGGTACCACAATGGTACTCTTCGAACATTAAGACATTGGTCAACATGAAAGAATTAAAGTTGGTGGGGTTGAAGTCTCATGATTGTCATGCCTTAATGCAGCAACTATTACCAGTTGCTATTAGAGACATTTTACCTAAAAATGTGAGACATACTATTACACGACTTTGTTTCTTTTTTAATGCAATTTGTGCAAAAGTTATCGACCCTCGTACACTTGATGAATTAGAGAAAGGGATTACTATTACTTTGTGTCAATTGGAGATGTACTTTCCACCTTCCTTTTTTGATATCATGGTACATTTAGTTGTGCATTTGGTAAGAGAAATCAAATCTTGTGGCCCCCCATACCTGAGATGGATGTACCCGCTTGAACGGTACATGAAAGTTCTAAAAGGGTATGTGAGGAATCGTTTTAGACCAGAAGCGTCTATTGTTGAAAGCTATATTGCAGAAGAAGTTGTGGAGTTTTGTACTGATTACCTGAATCGGGTAGAGTCTATTGGTCTTCCCAAGTCTCGTCTTGAAGAGAGAATTGACGGGGTTGGAACTCGAGGGGCCAGAGTAGTGACGAAGGCTCATGCTGATATTCAGGAAGCACATCTATATGTTTTACGTAATATGAGTGAAGTTGAGCCGTATTTCGAAGAACACATGGACTTGGTAAGACGTCAAAATCCTAAGAAAAGTCACATGTGGGTTGTGAGTGAGCATAATCGTTCATTCATCAGCTGGTTTAAGAATAAAATTCTTACTGATAATAACATCACTGGAGACATACGTTTCCTTGCTCGTGGTCCAAGCATGGAGGTCATATGTCACGGCGGGTTTGACTGTAATGGATTCTCATTCTACACAAAATCACAAGATGATTTAAGCACTAGGCAGAATAGTGGAGTAAGTTTGGTTGCTAGTGCAATGCACTTTAGTAGCTCTAAAGACAAAAATCCCATATTGGCACAAATGTCATATTTTGGGGTCATTGAGGAAATATGGAGCATTGACTATTCAAAGTTCAGAGTTCCAGTGTTTCGGTGTAGATGGGTTGATAGTAAACATGGAGTAAAAGTTGATGATCTGGGATTCACACTTGTTGATCTGAGTAGAGAAGGGCATAAAGATGAACGATTCATAATGACATCTCAGGCAAAACAAGTGTTTTATGTGACTGATCCTTGTGATAAAAGGTGGTCCATCGTTCTACATGGCAAGAGGCAGATGATTCTTGAGGGGAATGAAGATGCAAGTTTTGACGTGGAGGAGATTCCTCCATTTTCTTCAAATTTATTATCAGTTAACATAGAAAGTGAGGTAGATGAGGTACATGCTGCTCGGAATGATCACCAAGAAGGCTTATGGGAGGAGGGCTTATGGGAGGAGTGATTAGTATTTTATATTTATGTACATCACTCTGATTTCTTAATTACTTTTGCTATTAAATTGCGCCCTATGGTAGACCTAATCTGCCATTGCAATATGGAAGACCTAATCTTACTTTTGCTTATGGGAGGAGTGATTAGTATTTTACTTTTGCTTATTTGTATGTACGTCACTCATATTTCACAACAATATGGAAGACCTAATCTTAGTGCTTGGAAAGTTGAAATGTCTTATGGATCATCATATTTTGAACTGAGGTTTGAGTTTTTGTGTATTTTTCATGTAATGTCTAAGAAATTGTAGTCAGTGCTTTGTCTTTGACTTAGCAGGTAACATCTAGTAGGCAGTAAACTTGACTTAGCAGGTAACATCTAGTAGGCAGTAACTTGGAACCAAACAAGTACTTTTTTTTGCGGCTGAGCATTCCAGAACCAAAAATATTCATTGTGGATAGCATTCTATTTCTCTTGTCCAAATGAACAGTAAAACATATTTTGGTTTGCTTATGAACATTTCCTTAGTTTCTTGTGTTAATAGTTGTATATATCATTAGGTACCCTACTGTTAATAAATCAAGGATCGTCTAATACTCACACGTACAAAGTTGTGTTAATGTGACTGTAATGCATATTTTTAACTTTTGAATGCATATTTTTTAGTTGACAGTTTTGTTGAAATGGATCCTCCTGAAAATGAAGACACTCCTGAAACTAGTCAAAAGAGGGGTATCACACTCATGAAGAAGTACGTGCTTGGACGTGCTCGTAATGAGGATAAGATTGTTGTTGAGTTCATTGGGTCTAAGCCTGTAGGTCCAAATAGATGCAAATTAATAAGTTATGTTGGGATTTTGGGACGGACCCAAGTAGATATCACACTTGCTGATTGGAGACGAGTTCCGCAATCAACAAAGGATCTTATCTGGATTGATATTGAGGTGTTATCCATCATTCTTATATATTACTAGTATAGTACCTGTGATGGTTTGAAATGGTAAGCCGTTTACTACTTGTGTGATGGTTTGATTTTGCAGGGTATTTTTGTTATCCCTGATTCAAAAGGTGTGAGAAGAAGAATGATGAGAATAGCAAATAAGTCATGGAAAGACTTTAAATCAATGCTAACTACCACTTTTGTGTATGGGAAGACAAATAAAGAGACATTGAATCCCCTAGACATATATAATTGGATCTCCAAAGAGGATTGGGCTAAATTTGTTGAGAGTCGCCTCGATCCAAAGTTTAAGGTACTTTTGCATTTTACTGGGAGTACTTAGTATTGCTGTGTTGCTAAACAAGTGATGTCTTTTTGTAGGAATTGAGTGAGAAATGTAAAAAATTGCAGTTGAAAAATGTTTACAAACACCGATTGTCCCGTGGAGGCTATCATAAGTTAGAGCAAGACTTGATAAAGAAAAAACAAAAGGAACAAGAAGTAGCCGCTATGTCTGACCCATCTTTTGTATGCACACCCGTAACTTTTATTCCGAGGCATATATTGTGGAGAGGAGGTCGAGTACGTCCCAATGGAGAGTTTATGACTGAAGAGTGCAGAGAAGTTGCCGAAAAAATTGTATGAACATTACTTATTATTTATTAATAAAAGATACCGTTATTGTTCATTAATTTTATGATTATTATTAACTATTTCAATGTATTATGTTGATTTTGCAATAATTGTAGGCATTTTTTGAGAAGCAAGTCGATACAGGGGAGTTCACAGAATCAGGAAGAGATGACATATTGAGTGCATCATTAGAGAAAAGTGAGCATCCTGGCCGTGTTAGGGGCGTGGGAGAAGAAGTGACTATAACAGAATATTTTGGCCGAAAGTCACGACGCGATGGAGAATGCATGTCTATGGATAATGTTAAGCATTTAATTAACAAAGCTGTGGCTGATACAGAACTCAGAGTTACTAAAACCTTTGGTACAGAACTTGAAGATATCAAAAAAAAAAATGGAAGCAATGATGCATACTACGATGTCTAGTAACGCAAGTCCTCTATCTGATGCTTTTGGTCATGATGAACACATAATTAGAGGTTATTCTCCAATAAGCGGAAGGGCAAGCTGCCCAGATCCGTTTGATAATCTGCCAGTGGTAATTTACTATAACATTTAGTAATTATTAAGAATATATAAGTACTACTATACTTCACAAATTATTTTTATACAAAAATGTAGACAGGAGAAAACTGCGTATGCTTCTTGGAGGATCCTATTAAACGTGTTGTTGCTTGTGGGAGAGTTTTCAAGTTGGGGGGGATGCTACACAATCAACCGCTATCAAATGATCGTGTGCGAGTTGTTCTCGATAAGGCTATTGTTCCAGATGCAAAGGTACCATACCCAAATGATGAGGTGAACACTGTAAATGACGCTCTCTCTCAATTTATTGCATGGCCAAAGGTATTAGTAGAATTGGGAACAGAAAGTGAGGTATGTAATATATATTTTTCTTGTAAGTATAATTAGAATTAATTTAATTCGTTTATACATATATATAATGGATTTGAAATTAATAAGGTACACAAACGACGAATAGCAAAAGGAAAAATGATTAACCAGTCTCCTTTGAATCCTAAATCTCCATCATCCATTGATTTAACGGGCATGCCTAGAGAGTTTCATTTAGCACACACATTAGCAACTGGATTGTATGGCGATGAATTCATTGATATCAACATGGATGCCGATGTAGTTGGGATACAATATGGATTCAATGTTAATCAGGAAGAGATTTTCCGCTTTCTAAGGAAGGAGACTGTTGATATAAGTGCAATCACGATGTTTTGTATGTAAGTTTTATTTTGAGTTTTAGGTTTGTAAGTATTATATTCTTGATTAATAATGATATTACTTTTCGTTGTGATAATAATTTTAAATTTTTTATGGCAGATATCTTTATGAACATTTCGATTTGAAAGGAAATGCAAATTATGGGTTCTTATGTCCAAACATGAATCAAGAGGCGACAGATCACGATACGAGGATCAATTATGTTGCTGAAGTTATTCTTAAAGGAACTAGAAAGTACTATCTTGCACCATATCATGAAGGGTAATTGTTTTTAAAGCTGCATTTTAACTCCTTATGCAATTATCTGCTGGTGTTATATATACTATCATTTACTTTGTGCAATAATCTGTGGGATGATTTAACTTATATACTTTCATTTACTTTATGCAATATCTAAATTATATTTATTTATTTTTATTATTGTTGACAGTAACCATTGGACATTATGTGTTATTTGTCCAAATTTGAACGAGGTCTTTTGGTTTGACTCAATTGGGGGAAGACCAACTAAACAAATCAAGCAGATCATAGACGCGTATGTTACTAACCAGATTCAGTTTTTATTGTTTGAATATATATAACCTTGATTCTTTTCCGTTTTTTATATATGCATATAATTTATATGTATATAATACAGATCATTTGCACAAGCTTCACTTAAAGGTAGAAAGCCGGTGAACCGATACAAGACTACGAAATGGACTGTTTGTCCTGTAAGCCCAATTTTATTAAGTTGTTTTGAAATAATAAATCGTTATGATACTTATGTGTACTTTTTTTTTTAATATAGTGCCCAATGCAACCAGGAAGCGTGGAATGTGGTTATTATGTAATGAGATTCATGTATGATATTATTTCTGCACAAACAAATCAAAACATGAATAAGGTATGTAGTTTATTACATAGTGGAAAAAATGTATATTTTAACAAACAAGTATCGATACATAACATATAGCACTGCTTATGTTAATGCAGATTTTTGCCCCTCACAAGAAATATACACAAGGCGATCTAGATATTGTCCGGGGCATGTGGTGTAAAGCTTTATGCAAGTACAGCTTATGATCTTGACAATCATGGTGACACATCTGAAAATGGAGACCGCATTGAGAGGATAATTGCAAGGCTGAACTGTCATTCTTTTTTAATGTAGTTTAAGTAAACTGGTAATGGATTGGAATATCTTTTGAATTGGTGAGCTAATTTTGTAATGGTGAATTAGCATACTTTTTGGATTTGTGTTATAATTTTGCATTGGTGAACTAGCATATGTTTTGGATTGGTGATATAATTTTGCATTAGTGAACTAGCATTTGTTATGGTTTTTTTGGGTTCCTTGATAGATTATTATTTGAGACATTGTTAGTTTTGTTAAACAGGGTGTTGATTTATCTCTTTGCATTTTTTGGAACTGGAAAATTTGATACATGGCAGGTTTGACGAATTTATATGCAATTGTTTCTGTCCAAATTAAAAAAAAAAAAAAAAAAGACAAACCACGTCGGTTTTTATATAAACCGCCTTGTAATGTCTTGAAAAATCCGGGAAATATGTCGTTGGCAATATGATATTCACGTCGGTTACTACTAAAAACCGACGTTTTATGTAAATTCAAGTCGGGTATATTACGTCAGTTTTACCTAAAACCGACGTGGTTAGATGGTTTTCACGACGGTTCAAAAACCGACGTAATATGGTTAAGCCTATAACGACCCAACTATCCACGACACTTCAAAAACCGACGTTAAATGGGTAAAATAACCGACGTGGTATGCCTTATCTGTAGTAGTGTAGTGAACTGATAGCTAAAGAGCTAGTTGACATCAATATTTATTTTTAAATTAAAATAATTATATTTAAAAAAAATTATATGTTTAATTTAAATCATATCTAAAAAGTTCATTGATCTTGTTAACCTATATTTGAGATGCTGCTAAAATAAGCTTGAAATTCGCCTCCTGAACCACCTCTGTGTGTCTTGCAGGTACCTATTACTGTATTTTTTTTGTGTATTATTATCTCAAATTCACATCGGCCGGGTTGACTATCACTCTGCTATGTTCACCAATTGCAAAACCAAATATGCTAATAGAAAACCTTACATATAAATCATATTGCTCTAATAACCCAAGAAGTTGGATTTTACTCCTAGAATTGCAGCGGCTAACTTAGAATGGCTTGAAAGACTAGAATCGAGATTTTTGCTGCTGTCTGCCAGCCCTACTGTTCTTTCCATCTCCAGCACTTGAAGCAGTGTTGTTTGTCCTTACCACACTGTCTGACTCCATCTGAGCCGCACTTTCCAGCCCTTTCCATTGTTCTTGTTACGTTCCAATTCGAATGAGAAGAAGTGTCGGGCCTAATCTCATATGGTAATTCCCTTGTGGCATTTTCACATGGGATTAGCCTAATCTCAGACCATTATATGAGGCATAAGTTTACTGCATCAATCTAAGATGCAAAATCCTATGATGATTCACAAGATGAAGGTCTGAGAAATAAAGAAGATATTACTCAGTGTCTTATCATTAGTCCTTTCAAAACTACTGCAGTGAGGATGAAATGAGCAATTCAGTGAGAACTTGTGGGGCAACTTTGAAAAGTGGGTCCTCTTGCAAAAGAAAACTCGCTGAAGGTAATAATAAGCAATGTTGTTTACACAAATCTATTGCAAGAAATCCTAGCAATTAAATCAAAAAACAAATATGAGACATAAGTTTTCTCCTTTTTTATATCCACTTGTGAATATGCTATCATCATTTCACTTTATGATGAATTTCTTATAGTTCTTTATTCATGAACAGGAAGTTGTCATTACAAGAAAAGTGCACATAGACTGCACATGGACCACAATTGTTTTTGCGATGCCAGCATAACTGTCGTTAAAAACACCATTAACCACACATTTTTTTATTTACCACACACGAAAATGTGGTAAAAGCTTAGAGACGACAGTTTTTAACCGTGGCCAATGTTTTTACCACATCTGTTGTGCCGACGCACGTAAAACTGTCGCAAAACTGTCGTAAAAACATAAGGAGGAACATTTACGACAGTTTTGCGTCAGTTTTAAGTGCGTCGCCACAACAGCCGTGGTAAAAACATTGGCCACAGTTAAAAACTATCGTGTCTGACCTTTTACCACAGTTTTGTATGTGGTAAATAAAAAAATGTGTGGTTAATAATGTTTTTAACGACAGTTATGCGGCCATCGCAAAAAAAAAGTTGGTCTATGTGCGGTCTATGTGCACTTTTCTTATAGTGTGTATTGAATTCCACAGAGAGTACCATAACACAAATAGTACCATATGTACATGAACGTGCAGGAGGTGGGCCGGAGCTATTCACTAGAAACAAATCTCTAGAAATTCTCAGGTCCACATAGTAGAACATTCTTATTGTCCACCCATGTGGTTTATATGTGTACTCACTTAATTATGACTTATACGCTTTCACTTAATTTTTCTTATATTGTTATGAACTACTATTAGAAGTGAATGTATGTGTGTTGCTTGTTCAAAGTAATTCAGGTGTTTTGGCTTCATAAACACACTATCATTCAGTCTGATCATATGGAGATGCATGCACATGTGCCACTAATTGAGACAAGATATTTCTCGTAATCTGTTTCAAGATTGGCATGTCTACCTGACCAAGCAACAAGTTAAAAGGATTTCATGGTACTTTAAGAATTTTAATTCCTTGATATTAGGCTTTTCTGAATCTATTATTGATATACTTTATTTGTCTTAAGAATAATGTCTTTAGAATAAATGTCTGTCAACAATGTAGTCATACATTTCGGGGAAGTTGATTGAATTTGTTCTTGTAGTGTTGAGTAGTTTTTATGATTGTGTCATTAATTGAGTGTATGAGTAGTTTTTATAATTGTATCATTTATCGAGTGTGTTGGTCATTTTTCAGTGTTGATGAATGATGCTGCTATGAAGATTTGATGATGTGAAGGCGATGTGTACTTACGAAAATAAAATGAAATAACTTCTTGTTTTGAATGGTTCAATTTTACAAAAATACTAATGCGGATTCTCATACTATGCAGGCTATGTTCAACCAGATATTGATAAAGACTTGCTTTATTGGATGCGGATGGTGATGCCAGGAATAATGATGTCTAGCGTGTACAATAAAAATTTTGTATGATTACAGTGTAGATTTATACTCCGTAGCATATTCTAATACATTATTGATATTGACATAGTGTAGATTTATACTCCGTAGCATATTGTAATACACTATTGATATTGAGAAATTGACACTGTAAATAATTTGAGTAATAAATACAATTGTTGATATTTTATTTTGATTAGTTATTGTTATTTCTATAATCTTTCATAGAATCAGTAACAAATAATATAATGATTTTTATAATATTATTGTCATATTTATTATATGACATTTATGACACCAATGCGTCCTATTTTTTATGGTACTTATGTGTCACAAACTCTTATGATACCAATATGTCATAATCTTGGATCACATTAATGTGTCAGAATTTACTGACACTCTTATGTTTTATGATCACTGACACTATATTTAGTGTCACTAGCCGCCACTTTTCCCGACGCTTTTTTAGTATCATAGAAACTTTCAGTGACACTAAATTAGTGTCACTATAAGCCATTTTTCTACTAGTGGTGTGTATACGGGCTTAATTTCTTAATTTTCAGGAAGAATATTTTGGCATAACTTTGTTATTTATGTTTATGGTTATAAATAATTTTGATACTCTGTTTTTATTTGTTGTTGTGAATAGTTTTGGGTTGACTATTGTCTTTGTATGTGTGATTATATTTTGCACACTACCTATTTGTTGAAAGTTTGAGTAAACAAATGCAATACTTGGTGCCTTGGTGGCATAAAATGTTTCTGAAAAGAGAGTAAAAAGAGTTGGTAAAGAATGGATTTCAGTATAAACAAATACCATGTGGCTCAAAAGGTGTAGTTTTCATTTAAAGCTTAGATTGAGTTGAAGCTTTTAAACAAACTGCTATAGACCAAATTGTTTGAGGTAATAACCAATTTTCTTTGGGAAATAAAAGTAAAGTTTCAAACCTATTTAATGATCATCGAACCACTAACTTACCAACAAAGGAAAACGAGAAAAAGATCAATGTCGTTTTGAACAAACATTTTAACTTTATAACAATAAATAATGCGATAAATCAAGCCTCCACTCTTTGATACTCCGTCTTTATTCTGAAAAAAACTACTAAACTAACATACGCTTTAAATCTAAACCCACAAATATATTGCCTGTATCTTTTTTGTGTGTGTCAAACTCAGAAGAAATAAATACAAACGGAATAGAAGTGATAGCAGACTGTTAGCATGTAAGGAAAATTAAACATAAACAAGTTCAACCAACTCTTAAATAAAAAGTTGCAGCAATACCTGTTTGATCAAATGTCTGAATTAACAAACACAATACTTGGTGGCTTAAATTGTTTCTGAAAAGAGAGTAACAAGAGTTGGAAAAATGGTTTTCAATAATAAAAAAATACACGGGGGCTCAAAAGTTTTAGTTTTCATTTAAGGATTAGTTAGAATTGAAACTTTTAAACAAACTGTTGCAATACACTTTAGCACTTTTTTTTTTGGTTAAAACTTCATCACCTAAAATTCTAATGTTAACAGAATTTCAGCACTGCTACTTTTGTTTTTCACATTGTTTAACACTCTTCCAACACACTTCAGCTCTACTTTTTATTGATTACATTTAATTTACTAAAAGCTTACATGAACCACTTAAAACATAAACAACTTCAACCAACACTTAAATAAAAAAGTGCAACAACCTTTACCAATACATTGCTATATTAGGCCATACAAAATCACTTTTACATTCTTGATTTACAACAACTTTTGTCTTTTCAAAATATGTACTATATGTACTAAAATCACCCTAAAATGAGTTTGCCTAACTTAGGAAGTAACCCAAAATGATCCCAAAAAGCGCAATCAATACCTAAGGCACCGAAAAAAATAGCCCAAAGTTATGGAATCCAAAGTTAGGCAGAAATCATGGTGACTCAAAAGCTAACAGATTGCATAGCTAGTAAGCAATGATCCAAATTGAGTGCAGATGACTAAGGTGACTAAGTTAGGAGTGACTAAGGTGATCAAAATGAAAAAAAAATGACCTTAGGCACTGACCAACAGAAACCATCAAGAAACAACATGGCCTAAATTGAATCTGCAGCCAAACTTAATTCAATTTGACCCTCCATCAAGTAATGTCTTGACTCCTCAAGTAACTCCTTT